AAAGTGTAACCGTTAAACAAAAAAAAAGATACTATAGAGAATGATGCTTGGTCTGTAATAGTTAGACATTAAGTTTTTCCATGGCTTGATTTCACTCAGGCCCCGTCCACACGTATCCGGAAATTTTTGTAACCGCAAAATTTTTTTTGCGGATACAAAAATGTTTGCGTCCACACGCAGCGTATTCGAATCGTTTTCACCGTCCACACGTGTCCGTTTTCGTTGAATTTAAGGATACGGTCACAAAAGTTTGAGGACACGTGTGGACTAATCCGTATCCGTAAAAAAAAAAAAAAAAAAAATTCCGGATACGGCGCGTGTGGACGGGGCCTCAGTCTTTGAATCTCATTATCTGCTCCAAATGGTGGTCAAACACTGACCACCATGTGCTGTCAACCAGAAAGAATACTATTGAAAACTTGTGATTCAGCTGATGAACACTCCGCACGAGACAGGAAATGATGTCTAGTGAAACCCAGCAATTGCAGACCCATTGTCATTCTCATGAGAATAAGATTTTTTCTTTGAGTTGTATCCATAACAATACAGTCTTTTGACTAAACGTTGTCGTTTGATCAGCTTCATCCCTACRCGCCTAGACCGAACAGGATCATGGGGATAATTAATTCACAGTTACTAGCTGTCGCATATGTTATCTAACACGTCTTGAGCTCGCTGTTTTCGATCCCATTTAATTTGCTAAAATCGTGCCTCAAGCATACGGCGAAGATTTAAACTGGTGAGCARTTTGGATGACGCAAGTTCTGGGTAATTTACCCGTTATCCTTTTCGGTCTAGGCGCGTAGGGATGAAGCCGATCAACGACAACGTTTAGTCAAAGGACTGTATGTCTTCTCATTTGCAACTGTTAACTTAAGAAATGATGCTTATATGGCCGGGATTTATGACACGTGGTCTGAAATGGGAAAACATTCTCTTTATCTTGAGCACAATGACTTCAAATTTCAACCACGTGTCATTCTCTTGAGATTAAGATTCTTTGTTTAAGTTATTTCCATATTCATGTTAATTTTCTTTAGCAACTGGTAGATTGAACAATGAATAGACCTTATTTTTAAAGTTTTCCCAATTCAGCGTGACTGGCAAACCTCTGGGGGAATGAAGAGCTACTGTTTTGCAACTCGTCGGGATATCATCGTTATTCCTTTCGTATCCTTTGGGATACTCATGAATTTTTCGAAGAGTAAAAACAAAAGAAAATGAATCCCCTGGAGGTTCGTCACGCTGAATTGGGGAAACATTGTCACACCACGAATAAGGTGTCACACCACGATTAAGGTCTATTGAAACTCTAGTGAATAAAATACTTCTAATAACTCTGATAATAAATAGATAACAAAAGCTGCTTACCTGAGGGGGGAGGGGGAGTGGCACCATCAGTTACAGGTGGGGGAGGGGTAGGGGCCTGTGTCGGTGGAGGAGGTGTGGGTGCCTGTGTTGGTGGTGGAGGAGGAGGAGTGTCTGAAACAAAATAGATGTAATTAAAATGTAATTATTTAGTTTAAAAAATATATCGATAGAATTAAGTGTTTTTTTCAATTTCTTTTTCTTACTTGAGCTTGAACAATCTTCAAGAACAATATCGTCGATGGCGATATCTGATCTATAGCCAGATCCAATGATTCCTTCGAAAATAATCTGAAATAATGATGAACAATAGAAAAAGTAGTTATGGTAAAAAAGGTACAAAAGCAAATCACACGGCATACTGATCAGGTTTAAATATTAATTGAGACAGGTTAAGTATAATGATGTTGCACTAGCTCACGTGGAAACTCATTATAACCGCCTTGCTTGGTTCCTGTGCAAACTGGATAGATTAAACTAATTGTAGTTGTTTCCGTTAAAACAATCACGTCGCACGTACATCGACTTGCTCGAAAGAGATAAGACAAACAAGTACTGCGAGACTAAGCTAGTAACTCATTGTACATTGCTGATGGAAGCGATTTTCAAAAAAAGGTTGGCGTATATATGATTTGTTGCATTCTGCATATTGAATAACAAGTCCGAATCGTACTATATTCTATGTGAATACAACCAGCAAAAGATAACAAAGATAAGCATTTTCTCAAATTTTGTCTGCACGTTTTTTTGGGTGTATTTTCTTTGGTGTTGACATTATTTGCATATCATTTTGCATTGATATCACAAGCTTAATAAGTAAAAATCCAAAAGTTCCTTTCCAAGTTGCGTTTGCCATCTTTAAAGGTCCATTTCATATCGAAGCGAGACGAAAAGACTTTTTTAACACCTTGGGCAATAAAGTCCCCTTCACAGTTCCCAGCGCCATTTTTGAAAGGTAGCAATGCCTTTGCATCGAAGCAAGACGAACACATGTGAACAATTGTCCAAGGTGTTAAAAAAAGCTCTCTATCATTGCAAGCTCAACGTTCGTCTCGCTTCGATGGAGGCACGGTTACCTTTCAAGATGGCGCCTGGATCTGTGAAGTGGACTATTGTAAGATGTAAGTTCTAAGTTATAAGATGCAGCATGCAACCGAAGTAATTAACAGAACCTTCACCACGAATACCTATAGAAGATACAAGTCGTCATTGATTGTAAATACCTTGTGAGTTCCCTGAGACACCGGTACAAAGAAATCAGCGGTATACCAAAACTCTCCAAGGTCACCATAGTCTTCAAAGATCATCTTATTTCCCACATAAACCTTTAATGTTCCCATATCAGCACCGTACATGTAGTAATAGAATCGAAGGCACTTGTTACCGCCATCGAAGGAATAGGCTTTGGGTGTTTCTATCTTGGCATTGTCACCGGGTCTGCGTGGGTAGGAGGCTTCGGTGTACATRTAGTGACCTGATTGGACAGAAAAATGGATGAACACAGGAAACCCAACATATATTTTTACAAATGAAGAAATTTAAAATTTAGGAGGACAAACAACTGGGTAGGAGACTTCGGTATACATATAGTGACCTGATTGGACAGAAAAATGGATGAACACAGGAAACCCAACAAATCATTTTTACAAATGAAGAAATTTGAAATTTAGGAGCACAAACAACTGAAATACCAAAAAAGCATACCATTTTTTTTTAATTGGATAAATAGGCCTCAGAGATTAACGTCAAATTGCCACTGTGTTGCTTGATTATAGACTCTTTAATTAGGGATAGCGCGGCGTCAAAAAATTCACACATTCAAACGGTATATACACCTACTTGCAAGAACGTTGTCATACGATATTAGAACATTAGTAATTTAGTGAGAAAGGAATACATTAATAGACAATAGAAAATGCTCAGCTTCAGTGATCTTCTTTTGTTTTTTAATGTAATTCCTATCCCACTAAATCACTAATGTTCTATATTCGTATGACAACGTTCTTGCAAGTAGGTGTATATATAGTAAAGTATACACAACTTCAACAATATGAACACGTTGAAGTTCCGAACAGATCTTTACTTGGACACATAAATACTCTACATAAAATCGGGCGAGATACGACTAAACCTTAAACACAGAAACGGGGACATTTAGTGCAGCAAACGTTTCAGTCAAACAAATAAAAATAAAAATAATTAAAAAAAAAAAAAAGAAAAATCAGAACGCAACTGTTTTTCACAATTGGAAAAATATTGCCTCGTTCCGTTGTTGTCAATAACAGTACCGTCGCATGTTTTGTATATATAAATAATTATTTATTCTATAAGCCTGAATATTCTACACAGAACTGAGTTTAACCCTGTGTAAATGAGTCTGTGATCAAGAAACCCAGCGTTAATTTGGAACTCGAAACCGTTTTATTTAGAATAAGTTAGTTCATAGAGCTTTTAAGTTTAAAAGCGTTTTACCTGAACCAGATGCATCAGTAAACGGCCCTGTGTCCCATGAGGGTGTGTCACCAAACTGTCTTGTCCAGTCAAACTTGTCGTCAGTTCGTTGGATAAATCCACAGTTACCGCTGTCAAAGTTGCAGGAAAAATCTAGAGTAAAATGAATAAATGAGTATATAACAAGAATGGGCTGATCTAAGTCAGGGCATGGCTAACTCATAGATCAAACCCTGAAAACCTCTGGGCTGATCTAAGTCAGGGCATGGCTAACTCACAGATCGAACCCTGAAACAATCTCTGGGCTGATCTAAGTCTGGCACGGCTAACTCACAGATCAAACCCTGAAAACCTCTGGGCTGATCTAAGTCAGGGCATGGCTA